GCGAGATTTCCCTCCCTCCGCTCTCTCTCTCCCCTCGTCTCCCTCACGCGACCCCTTCTCCACGCGAAAACAGCCTTGGCAACGTCTCTTTGGCAGCAGTACGCCTCCAGCTACTGCGTAGCAGGTCGTACTGCTCGTCCTTGCGACAACGAGATGATGACACGACACTCGCAAGTACCACGATTTCATCTCAACCCTCCACCTCGCCTCAAACTCCCTTCCCGCTCGAATCGTCCTTCCGGATAAGAGGGGAATTCGAATTTCAAATCGAATGGGCCTGAAATTAGTGGCCAGCCCTCTTCATCCCGAAAAACCCTAATTTCCCCTTCTATATAAACCCCACCCCTCTTCGGAAAAGGGGTTGGAGATTTTTGAGTCTGAAAGTTCCGTGGAGAGATTTTGGTTGGACATTCTTGAGTTTAAAAAAGATTTTTGAGGGAGAAAAATGTTGGCTGTTGTGGTTTTTTCGCTGATATTTGATATATAAAAATATAACCCAGCTTCCTTTGAGAAGAAGAAAGGAGTTTATTTAGGAATTTGGAGTGTCGGAAATTTGAGGCAGAGTGCATTTTTTAGACTAAGGTTTCTTTTCTCTTCTCTTCGTCGAAGAAGATAGGAGGCAGTGCATTGAGAGACACCTGTTTAGAGAGTCGACATAAAAGAGGAAGCATTAGAGAGTAACGTGACGAAAAATTACAGAGCTTGCTTCACTCTTTCGCTTGATTTCACGACCGCGTCGCACATCGGACTGTCTTGCTCATTGTTTATTGCTTAACGGTTTGAAAGTTTGTTTAGTTCAAAACATGTTTCATTCGCTATTAGTTCATCGTCTCAAACGCTAATTCATTTTCGTTTGGTTTGCATGTAAAATTCCTTTCGAGCCTTCGGAACTCCATTCTCTCTATGCTTTCAAAAGAGCCGTAAAGGCTCGGAAAGTCTTTACCAAGTCAATCCGTCGAAACAAGCCTATGAAGTCAAAATTCCGTGAAAAAAATTGAAGGAGTTCGAGGAAGGCGAAATTAGAAGACTTTTTCCTTATGTTTATTTTCTTTATATTTCCATTTGTAACGGGCATAAGCCCTTGTCGCTTTATTTTCCGTATTTTATTTTTGTATGTTTAGATTAGGACAGGTAAATGGGTCGAAAACTCCAAAAGCAGGCGGATCTAAGTTTCGGTCAAGGCGAACAGAACCCGAAAACTTGGACCCAAATCTCTCTCTCCCTCCCTCTTTATTATTTGCTTACGCCTTTTTACTCGAATGTCGTTAGTCTAGGATTAGAAAACTCCAACCCCATCGAACGTCTTTTGTTTTATCAAACTCAAATTAAAAATTTGAAACTTTGAAAGATAGATGTTTAAGTTTGGAAATTGCTTAGAGTTAAAGTTTTAACTTCAATAAAATATTCTAAAAATTTGGACAATTCACTTAAGTAAGTTTCTAATAAAGTTCTATAAACAAAAGAATTGCAAAAGTTAATAAAATAGTCAAATAAGTTAATCGCCGGAAAACCGTAAGTTAATGGAGCGTCTTAGGTGCTTTCTTTCGAAACCTTCATAAGACGTTAATAGGAATTCCGAACCCTTAAAATTTTTCAAACGATTGTTTTTAGTTGTTTGAAAAATAAGTTTTCTTGATTTTTCTTAAAAATTAAGTGGCGACTCCTAAAAGTCAAAAATACCTTTAAAATAAAACGAACTCTTTTCGAAATTAATATTTTTGATAAAACAATATTTAGGACAAATTTGATCCAAAAAGGTGGAAGGAAATGAATGCCAAATAATATATACTCGGGATTAATTTACTTTAAAGGACATGAAGCTAGTGAACTCAAGAAGAACACTCAATGCACTGCGATAAAAATAACCATTAGCCGTATTTAATTTTTAATTATCGTTAAATATGTATTTTTAGCGGCAATTATCACTTTTTGTATATGTTCCTAAAACCTTTAACGACATTGGTTCTAATGACACTTAACTAATGTCGATAAAGATTTTAACACTCTTTAATCGTTAAAAATTATTTTTGTTATAGTAATGAAATGCCAACAACTTATAACATATACATTTAGAAGGGTTAGAGGTCAAGGATCGAGATCGAAAATTAGTAAATAATCGAGTATTCTCATATTTATTTTTTGGGGCAGGGGCTATTTAGTATATATTCATGTGTAGTCTCTTGGATTAATCTTCACCGTATAGTACCACATGTTGTCTCATTTGCTTTATATCTTTGTTATATCGTTATCATTTTATTCCTTCTATCGTAAATTCATTAACATTACCAAAAACAAGCTCTCGATCCCATAAAGGGATAAAATTTGTGTACAGGGGCGAAACTACCTTGATGAACCCTTTTCGTTAGAAAATTATATTATTTATTTATGATTGAAATAATTTTTTTAAGTATATATAGTAGATGTCAAATCTCCTTCGACTACTTCGTGTGTCTATAATTCCATAATTTAAATACCCCTTATTAAAAATCCTGGATGCTAAACCCCAGACTACATTCGATTTGTTGTTATTTTGTAACCTAAAAGTATTAGCTAGAGTGGCATATATTCTAGTTAAGGAGGTTATTATTACACTGACACTCCAATGTAATGAAGCATATTAATCTATAATATATAAGCCTTTTGTAACAGAAAAAATAAATTAATACATATATAGTGTAAATCAATGGAACTAGTACAAATAATTAAAGTTGATTAAATCCTTGGAGCACAATGGTGGATTTTTCAAAATACTCATAAAGAAACATCAAAAGAAAAAAACATAACGAAAATTAATTCAAGCAAAATAATAATCAGACGTCAAATATTTCTCCATAATATTTTGACAATCTAAATTGTTCACCGTAGCTAAGCTATTAATTAGCTCAACATTTCTTCTCTTTGAAATCGAACCATCAGTATTATTATTATTACTCTCGTCTACGTACGGAGGAGGAGGAGGAGGAGGAGGAGACGACGATGAAAACTCGGGGGAACGAGGACGTCTCCTCGGCCTCACTCTATTAATCTCCGTCACATTAGTTTCAATCAAGTGAGGAAAATTCAACACAGCTTTAGAACCGCGTAACCTAAACGCGGTTCTATCATAAGCTAATGCTGCATCCTCAGGTGTCTCATATGTCCCTAGCCATAGCCTGCACCCTTTCCTCTCGGGGTCCCTTATTTCCGCAGCGTATTTTCCCCATGGCCTTCTTCTCACTCCTTTATATTTTTTCGGCCTATGCTCCGATAAACGTGTTGTTGACTCCTTATTTTCTTCTATTTCTTGTAATAATATCGGGATATTATCTTGTGCGATCGCGTTTTGATGATCAGGAGTAGTTGAGTATTGTCTAGGAGTTTGAATTTCTGATAATATTTGGGAAAAATCAGAATCGTTGAAGAGATGTTGCATTGTATCAAGAAAATTTTGTTCAGTATCTAAGGATATTTTTCCTTGCATGATAGTAAGAGAGAAATTGAATAATTTTTTTTGTTGCCTTTTATGGATTGGGTGTATAATTTGAGAGTGATATAAAAAAAAATTGATGATGGATGTATATATATATAGAGGTTTTTTTTTGTGAATTAAGTAATGCATGAATGTGGGATATATTATGAAATTTAAAATAGTGGGTCAAATTTTCACTGTTTCCAAAAAAGGGATTATATTATTATAATTATAAGGATTAAGGAATATAAGTCACCAACGCTAACATATAATACGTGATGGTGATTAATGCTTATGTAGGGGTTATTGCATTGAAATCAAAGTTGAAAATTAAACTTTGTAACAACAGAGTACTATTTTGAGGAAAAATAATAATTAATTACTCTTAATTTGTGATTAATCAAAGGAAACAATTCAATTAATCTAAGAAGTTACGTATTAAAATGAAAAAAATACATAAACCTATGAATTATGGTTGAGTAAAAGTTTGCCTACACAAAACAGGAACATGTTTGTATTAGTCCATCAAAAATGATTATTACTCTGTTTAAATTTAAGCAGATTAATATGTAGACGTTGCTCAATAAATTTTAAATTTAAGTGATCTTGAATTTTTAATCATGTTTGTGACAAATCTTTAAAGTTAAAAGTAAAAGAAATATTGAAGCAAAACTTGATTATAAACTTTTTTAAAAAAAATTTCACGAACAAATGTAATAAAAAGTTTAAGATTGTCTAATTTTAAGGTCATTCTTATAAATCATCCGTAAATATATGATTACTTGATTATTAATAAATCGGCACGTTGCCCTGCAAAGGAAAAATTACGCGGATAAATAGACTTATACTATTTAATTACTCATCATAGCAATAGTTTGCTACAATTATCATTTGCGACTAACATTATGCATTAATTACGTGGGTTGACTTTGAGTTTATATTATTAGTCATGTTTGTATATGTATAATTCGTCAGGATATACAAATAAATATGTATAATATCCAATTTTTTAGCCTATATACATATAACAATTTACCTCTCTCCCACTCTCTGCTCTCTCTCGCGAGCCTCTCTCCTCCCTCTCCCAATCTCGCTTGCCATTTATACAAATGTATATGTATAACATATAGTTATATACATTATATACATATACAACTCATCTCTCTCCCACTCTTTGCCATCTCTCGCTCGCCTCTCTCCTATCTCTCCCAGTCTCGCTCACCTCTCTCCTCCCTCTCCCAATCTCTCTTGCCATATATAAAATTATCTAATTAATATACATATACAATTCACCTTTTTCCCACTCTTTTCTCCCTCTCTCTCGCCTCTCTCCTCACTCTCCCAGTCTCACTCGCCTCTTACCTCCAAATAACATGTAGCTACAAATTATAATTATCAAACTATAACTATAGAAAGTAATTAATTATTTTTAAGTGGCTATATGAAAGTTTCCTATTTACAAATCGATCATCTAAAAGTTATATTGGTTGATATATAATTCAAACTGTCTTAATGACTAATTTTATGATAATATTTTAAATAAGATGCCGTACACATTTTTATTTGTTACCATGTTAAATATAGTAGAATAACAAAGATTCTTCTTATTAGGTAATACTTAAAAGAAAAAGAAAAATTATTGGAACTTGCTAAATGTCGAATAGATTAAACTATAATATTATTTAATTTATTTCAATATATTTAAATTATTTAATTTTAAATATACACAAGACTCTAAATAAGCACCTCTTCCTTGACTTGCCCTTTCTTAACTAAACATATTATTATTTTTGTATATTTAAAAGTTATATAAAATACTATCAATTATTATAATTAATTAATTTGAAATATTAAAACATATATTAAAAAATTGTATATCCTCTAAAAAAATTATCGTAGCTACAATAATTTTAAAAAGTTACTGTAATTAACAATTTAATTTTTTTAAAAATATATAAATTAAATTACTCTTAAAATTTTATCCCTGACATAACTATTAAAACATATGAAATAATATATGTTATTTAAAAATTATATATAAAAACTTCTATAAATCGTAAGTAGTAATTATAATTATTTCCTCCATTCCATATTAAATTAATTTTTAAGACATTTTATCATTCAAATTAACTTAATTATTCAATTTTCAATACTATTTTCAGAGTGCTGCTTACCAGTTATGCCGAAGAGAAGAATATGGAGGATTGATGACAGAGTTGTCCTTCGAATTCGAAGAACAAAGCTCTTATTGTTTGCTTCACGTCATTTAATATTGAAATTAGTGATTAATTAATATTTAATTATTTTAATCATAAATTTAATAATAATTAATAAAAAATAAATATTATATCTTAACGTATTTTTCTTAAAGGGTGTGAAACACTTTGAAAATTAATGTAATAAGGGATGAAAGAAGAAGCATCTTTACAAATTATATACATAAATAAATTGACTTTCCAAATTTCAATTTCATATAAATTGAGATAAAAACAAAATACTCAAAATTGAATAATGTCATTCTCTTTATCATTTATTCTGTTGCTCGGTTCATTGAATGAAATTAGTAATATTATATATGGACCCACTTTCACACACACAATAAAAAATCATTTAAATTTGAGCTGTTGTTGAATTTAATTTTATATTGTGATCTGATCTCTAGTTTAAAAAATAATAAAAATAATCAACAGTTGTTTAAATATCTTAAAAAAAGATGATATAAATCACTTTTTCTTTCTCTGATTCTATCTAGACGCTTTATTGAAAATTAATTTAATAGGGGAAAAAAACAAAGTTTGTTTGTTCAAGTAATCTAGTGGAAAATATGTTTTCTTAATCTACTTGTTTCAGTTTAATTAAATAAATTATATAATATTTGACACATAAGCTCGTTGATACTAGTAATTAATTCGCATGTAATTACACATGCTTTAATTAACCACACTTTTGTCCATGTTTAAGTGGTTTTTAATGTTGAAAAATGATGTTTTAATGAATGGTGTAATCTTATGGTTGGAGGTGAAGTTATTAGAATTTAAAAAGTTTGAATTTTAGTTCTTTAAAGTAATTGAGTTTTTCTTTTTTCTAAAAAAAAATACAGAATTTTAATTAAAGTTATGAAACTTAACTGAATTCATAATCAATGACGAATTAAAGTAGAAAGTAACTTTTTAGTCTAAACACGCAAAGTGACTTCCTTAATTTATACTTTTATAAACTTAATCATGTTACACACAGTGACAAGGGTGATAATTATTCAACCTAATAGATAAATAATTAATAGTGATAGGTAGATTGTACAATAGTGACAATTCAATTTAAACAATAGCTAAGTTGATCAGACGCAGGTGAAATAAAGAGTTTGTGGGTTTTAAATTTTAAAATAGAAGAAAAAAGCATTCAAATCCATAATAAAATGTGTTTAAAATAGGGGGTGTCAAAAATGAACCCAAACATACGTAACCCGTCTAATCCCTCCAAAATTTTAATGGTTGGGCTCTAATTTAAATTGGGTTCATTCTCAACCCGTTCAAGCTTAACCCAGTTGAAGAGAATTCTCAATCGAGCCCAATTCAATCTCCAATTTTCAATCCGTTTTAAAACTTTTTATTAAGATATATTCCTATATTGAAGATATGAATTATTATTTATTTAACATCTTTTAGGATTTATCTATCTATTTGTTACTTTTTTAACAAAAATTCTCTTGAGCGGGAATTCAAATTGTGATTATAAAAATTAAATATCAATATGTTAAATTATTGAGATTAATTGGGTCAAGACCCAACCCGTTTTTTAGCCCATTTGAACCCAAAGTAACTTGGGCGGATGAAAACTCAACCCGATTTCTATTAAACCAGTTTAATATTTCCAATTTCAACCTAATCTGCCCATTTGACACCCCTAGCTTAAAACATTGTCACCACTCTTTCTTACTAGTTAACACACACACGCACACGCGCGCACGCACACACGCACGCGCGCACGCAGTATCAAATTCAAACTTTTGATAGAGTAATATAAAGTATAAACTTAACACCTTCATATTTGTTTTTAATTTATTTTGAATAATACCTTGAGCTATTCACAATAATTATGCGGATCCAATTCTCTCTCTATATATAATAAACATATACACATAATAAACAGTATAGGTAAAAATTCATTACTCAAAAATATGTTGAAATAATTTTGAGGAAAGATAGAAAAATTGTAGGAAGAATTTTTGACAACGACTTCAAAAGTTAAAAGTATTTTTCTTTAATTAAAAAAAAAACTCATTTTTAGAGATTTGAGGTTCTTACGAGTATTTTTTAACTGGTCAAGAAATTATTTTTCAGAAATTGAATGAATTAAATTTTTTCGATAGTATTTTTGAAATTTTGGTCAAACAGTGACAATTATTACAATTTTTTTTAATATTGACAAAAATATTTTTAAAAATATTATTAATCAAATATAAAATGCTATTCTTAAAACAACAATGCTTCTTCCCGCGTTACTTTCCAATTCAGATTTAATTAAAATTTCAATACGAGCTTAAAACATCGTGAATTAAAAAAAAAGTAAATAATTCTATTTTATATTAAATTGGGTATAAATTAAATGTACTAAGTACTTCAACTATTACTATTCCCTATGTCCTAATTTAGTTGTCCATTTTAAAAGTGACACATATTAAGACACAAATTATTATCATATGTTAGTTACGAATTTATTTTTTAACTTAAAAGATAATACAACTCCCCAAGTATAATAAATATATCTTCTGATTTCAAAAAATATGTATTACAACTTAGTAATATTAGAAATTTTCTAGAATTAAATAAGAGTATATTAGGAAAAAAATATTTTTCATTCTTGATCTGTTAAAATAAACAATTAAATAGCGACAAATATAAAAATAATATGGACAAACAAATAAAGACAGAGAAAGTAGTAAATAGTATATTTAATGATATTAT